GCGGGGCCTGGGAGCCAGCGGGCGCCTTCGCCGGAAGGAGAGGGGTCGGGATCCAGGGACGGGGCGACCTCAGGGTGCCCGCCCTTCGTGGGCCGTTGATTTACAATAAAAAAACGGGCCGTTGACTTCACCACCAGGACCGTGTAGACGGCACCCTCGCGTTCCCTGCCTTCCCCGATCGCGGGTCCCTGTGCCCAGGTGCCCAGGTGTCCAGGTGCCCAGGTGTCCAGTTGCCCAGGAGCCAAGGCTCCGACGTCCTCTCCACCTTTTGTCCCGCTCGGGGGCCAGGAGGCCTCAAGCTTGTGCAGTTTGGAGCACCGTTTTTTTAGAAAATACATTTTTATTGATTTCAGAGAGGAAGGGAGAGGGAGAGAGAGAGAAACATCAATGATGAGAATCATTGACCAGCTGCCTCCTGCACGTCCCACACTGGGGATGAGCCACAACCTGGACTGGTTCATAGGTCCACACCGTTGGGGCGGGAGCACCCTTTTTAAGAGAAAAAGTACAAAATTAGATACAAAGATGGAGATTGATTAGAATAAGAAAAGTAACCACAACAAACAGTGACGTCTACAAAGCTGATCAATACCATAACTTCATACAATTAACTAATACAATTAATTTTACTAATTAACTGCCTGGCACACTTCTAATATATTTTTTCCTAATTTTTTGGATGCAGACTTTGATGTGGCAATGATTTGATAGAACTTTTGATAGAGTGAACAGAGACATAATTCACTTTTTGCAGGGTTGGTCGCATTTTGATTTTTATTAATACTTTAGAAGAGTCTGTCAGCTTTGCATTCTTCCTAGTAAAGCAACATAAACTGTTGGGATTGCTATCCAATTTGGCCAAACCTCTCCTGTAAGAGCCAGGGGATTTCAGGTGTTTCACGGGTCTGGCAGGGCCTGGTCTGCAATCTCCCCTGGCCTCAGAGTGGCTAGTTATGAGCTTTGTGTCATAGTTTTTGTTTTGTTTTGTTTTATTTAAAATATATTTTAATTGGTTTCAGAGAGGAAAGGTGAAGGAGCAAGAGATAGAAACATCAATGATGAGAGAGAATCATGGATCAGCTGCCTCCTGCACGCCCCACGCTGGGGATAAAACCCGCAACCCGGGCATGTGCCCTGACCGGGAATCGAACTGTGACCTCCTCCTGGTTCACGGGTCGACACTTAACCACTGAGCTACGCCGGCCGGGCAACTTTGTGTTGTTGTTGGTAGCAGTGTTTCATGTCAAATCCGGAAGAAATGTTAACTGCTTTCTTTTTGGGATTCACTCACCTTCCCTGTTGAATCACACACGTTCTGCCCGTTTCCCTGCCCTTTGAGAAGGAGCCCGCTGTTCTCTTACATGATTTGTGTGCCCAGGTAACCGTGGCCGGTGCTCGGTGGAGATTTGGTGACTTCCGAGGGTTCCAAAGATACTGATCTGAAAGTCTGTCTGGTGTAAGTGCTGTCTGTCTGGTTGAAAACCGAATACAAGCAGAACAATGCAAGCAGCCTTTACTCGTGGAATAGGTGAACAACATCACCGAGCAGGTTTCCTGGTAAAAGGTAATTCTTTCCCAATGTTTTGAGAATCATCTCTTTGGTCTGTTGTGTGTTTTAGTTGATTCTCTGTAACTGGGATCACAATTTTGAACTCATGAATTCTTCACTAAATAGCGTTGGGGAGACAGGCATGATGAAACCTCCATGCTTCAAAGTGAGTGGAGTCTGGCCCCAGCGGTGCGTCCGTCCTGCGTTACCATCCTCTTCCTTCCGCTTTGCTTCTCCTTCTGCTTTCTTGCTTCCTGTTTAGGAGTGTCCTGGTTCTCACAATATCTTCCATCTCTGTGTTGTCATTTTCATTATTCATATTTTCTTTGCAATCATAATTCATTTCCTTCGTTATTTTGACCGTGGCTGGTTTTAGTTCCATTGTGATATACTTTTTATTGTATTAAAAAATATATTTTATTGATTACATAGAGAGAGAGGGAGAGAGAGAGAGAAACATCAATGATGAGAGAGAATCATTGATCAGCTGCCTCCTGCACGCCTCACACTGGGGATCGAGCCTGCAACCCAGGCATGTGCCCTGATAGGGGATCAAACTGTGACTTCCTGGTTCATAGGTTGACGCTCAACCACTGAGCCACGCCGGCTGGGCAGGTTCATCTTTTTAAAAGTTAGATCATGTTACTCCTCACTGGAGATGCCCACTTCACTGAACGCAGAATCCAGTGTATAGCAAGCCCTCGAAACGCTCCCTGGGTAGATGCTCCCGTCCTCATTCGTGGGCTTCTCCTGCTGTGGACACGACAGGATGAGTATATTCCCGCCTCAGGGCCACTGTCCTTGCTCTTTGCCCAGATGCCACTGTGGTCCCTG